TGCCCCGTCCTGCTGCAGCTTGCAGATGTACTCGGCTGTCTTCTGCAAGGTGGTGGCTTTGCTGACCTGTGGGGGCAGAGGGGATGGCGAAGGCAGCCCTGGGGACGGGCAGGGTGTGGGGCTGGTGCCCCAAGGTGCTGTTGCTCCCTGCTGCTGATCCTCAGCCGCTTCTGCCACAGAATCCAGAGCCTGGACCACCCTGGCCCAGCTGCACCACGGGGGTTCCCACGTTCCTGGGGTGGGCTCAGAGCCTCCCGGGCTGGGGCGCAGGGCTGGGACCCCCATGCATGGAGCAGATCAGGGACCCCGGGTGACATGCAGCGTCCCTGCGTGCCCAGGGCACTCACCTTGATGCTGGGCTGGGCGCTGAGGGTGCTGACCAGGCTGTGCAGCGTGTCGAAGCCCAGCTTGATGTTGAAACGCCTCTTCTGCTCGGCAGAGATGTGTGTGATGCGCCGGGTCTCCACCTGTGGGCAGGCTCTGTCAGGCACCTCCTGCCTGTGGGGACAGCCCTGGGCTACCTGCCCCATCAGGGACAGGCTGGCCCAAACCTCACAGCCAGGCTGGAGGAGGGATTTTGGCAGGCAGCAGGAAGAGGGGGTGCACATGGAAGTGGTGCCCCATAACTCTTGCTCCTGCCCTACCTTGCTGGGCTCAGCCCTACCCCGGCGGGACACAGGGTGGTGCAGGGTGGTGCCAGTGCTCGGCCCCACAGCAGGTCCTGGGGAAGCCTGGCTGGGCTTGGGCCAGTCACTGCCTGGAAAAGGAAAGGTGATGCTCTGGGGAGAGGGGTGGCAGTGGCATCAGCCTCCTGTGAGGGGCTGACCGCAGGGTCCCACACTGGGACAGGCAGAGGGGAGCAGCCTGCAGCATGACCCCAGCCCTGGGCAGCCACCCCACTCAGCTGGCTCTGGTCCAGCACCCAACCGTGTCCTGTCACTTTGTTTAATCCCAGATGCCACTCATTTTACAACTGCTGAGAAATGGGAACATTTTAGACATGGCATTTTAAATGTCCAGGTTTGCTTGGAGTGGAAATCACCAGGAGACACTCCTGTGGGCAGCAAGGCTGCAGCCTGCAGCTCCAAACTGAAGCTGGGAACAACACCAGAGCCTGGTTTCTGCAGGCGAAAGCAGAGTGCTTCCCACTCAAAAACCAAGCTCTGGGTTTTCAAAGCCACAGTCTGACATTTTACACCTTTTGGTCTTTCCCTGTTTCAGCTTTTGCCCTGGAGAAGGAGGCAGGTGAAGGGGCTTTGCCCTCACCCTGGGAAGAAAACCATCCATTCTCCAGGGGAAATGTAAGCAGCTGGGATTGAAACCAAAATGAAAGATCCCCACCATGTTTGGTCCAAGCTCCCTGCAGGAAATGCTGTATCCTGTGGAGCTCCTTGGGGTGCCCCAGACTCACCACAAGCTGAGGTGGGGGACAGGCGCTCTGCCTTGGGGACCCGCAGCGCGCCCGGCTGGGCGCCCGCCGGGAGGGCTGCCTGGGAAGGGCTGGATCCACGAGCCAGCCCTGGGCTCAGGAGGG